CACTTATGAGTGAGTACATGTGATAATTGTCTTTCTTGGTCTGTGTTACTTCACTCAATATGTTGTTTTCTAGCTCCATCCATTTGCCTGCAAATTTCAAGATGTCATTATTTTTTTCTGCTGTGTAGTACTCCATTGTGTAAATGTACTACATTTTCCTTATCCATTCTTTGGTCAAGGGGTATTTAGGTTGTTTCCAGATTCTGGCTATGACAAACAATGCTGCTATGAACATAGTTGAGCACATGCCCTTGTGGCACAATTGAGCATCCTTTGGGTATATACCCAAAAGTGGTATTGTTGGGCTTTGAGGAAGGTTGTTTCCTAATTTTCTGAGAAATCGCCACACTGATATCCAAAGGGACTGTACCAATTTGCATTTCCACCAGCAATGCAGGAGTGTTCCCTTTTCCCCACAACCTCTCCAGCATAAGTTGTCATCAGTGTTTTTGAGTTTGGCTATTATTCTTACAGGTGCAAGATGGCACCTTAGAGTTGTTTTGATTTGCATTTCTCTGACTGCAAAGGATGTTGAGCATTTTCTTAATTATCTTTCAGACATTCTAGATTCCTCTGTTGAGAGTTCTCTGTTTAGGTCTATACTCCATTTTTTAAATTGAATTATTCGTTCTTTTGATGACCAATTTCTTAAGTTCTTTGTATATTTTGGAGCTCAGTCCTCTGTCTGATGTGGAGTTGGTGAATCTTTTCCAATTCTGTAGGCTGCATTTTGTCTTGTCGACCATGTCCTTTGCTTTACAGAAGATTTTCAGTTTCAGGAGGCCCCATTTATTAATTGTTTCTCTCAGTGTCTGTGCTGCTGGGGTTATATTTAGAAAGTGGTCTTCTGTACCAATGTGTTCAAGTGTACTTCACACTTTCTCTTCTATGAAGTTCAGTGTGGCTGGCTTTATGTTGAGGTCTTTGATCCATTTGGACTTGAGTTTTGTACATGGTGATAGATATGGATCTGTTTTCGTTCTTCTACATGTTGATATTCAGTTATTCCAGCACCATTTGTTAAATATGCTTTCTTTTTTCCATTTGATATTTTTTGCTTCTTTGTCAAAAATACAGGTGTTTGTAGATGTGTGGATTAATATCCGGGTCTTTGATTTGATTCCATTAGTCCTCCTGTCGATTTTTATGCCAATACCAGGCTGTTTTCAGTACTGTAGCTCTGTAGTAGAGTTTGAAGTCAGGGATTGTGATGCCTCCATAAGTTCTTTTATAGTACAGGATTGTTTTGGCTATCCTGGGTTTTTTGCTTTCCTATATGAAGTTGAGCACTGTTCTTTTGAGGTCTATGAAGAATTTTGCTGGGATTTTGCTGGGCATTGCATTGAATCTGTAGAGTGCCTTTGGTAATATTGCCATTTTTACTATGTTAAGTCTACCTACTCAAGAGCTTGGAAGATCTTTCCACTTTCTGGGGGCTTCTTCAATTTCTTTCTTCAAAGATTCAAAGTTCTTGTCATACAAGTCTATCACTTGTTTGGTGAGAGTTACTCTGAGATATTTTATGCTATTTTTGGCTATTGTGAAGGGTGATGCTTCTTTGATTTCTTTCTCAGCCCATTTATTGTCTGTGTAAAGGAGAGCTACTGATATTTTTTTTTTGAGTTAACTTGTATCCTGCTACATTACTGAAAGTGTTTATGAATTGTAGAAGTTCCTTGGTAGAATATTTGGGGTCGCTTATGTAAATTCTCATATCATCAGCAAATAGTGAGAGTTTGACTTCTTCTTTTCTGATTTGCATCCCCTTGATCTCCTTTTGGTGTCTTATTGCTCTAGGACCTCAAGAACTATATTGAATAGATATGGAGAGAGTGGACAACCTTGTCTTGTTCCTGCTTTCATTGGGATTGCTGGGAGTTTCTCTCCATTTAGTTTGATGTTGACTGTTGGCTTGCTGTTTATTTTCTTTATTATCTCTTGTAATGAAGAACCTTTCTAAAGGGAAGCCTCTCCTTCCATTTAAAGTCCTCTTATGCTGTTACGGTACGTTTTATTGTTCCTTTTCTGATGCTTCCCTGCCTCATGGCTGGATCATGGTTCAAGACCTTTTGTCCTATTAGACCTCACCCCTGAAAGTCTTCTTTTATATGCCAGCTTCTCTCTTGAATCAACTATTGTTCTCTTATTGCTAATGCCAAATAGTTTATTTGTGGTTGCTTGTGGGAACATGAGTGGGGGGGGGTTATTTAAATAGGTGAACTTACCCGTGGCTTTATCACTGAAGAAAATCTATCTCTCCCCCTAGTAGCTATTAACTGCCTATGTATCCTCCAGGAGGGGTAGAACTTCATGAGCCCATGTGTCCTTCGTTAACGAAGGTCAAGGGGTCCAGTCTTGTGCAGGTAACCATAGCCACTGTTCAGAAATGCAACAGCACGTTATGTCCCAAAACAGTGTTTTCCCCAGCAGTTAGTTTCTTCCTGTCATTTCTTACTTGATGTTCCTTCGGACTTAGAGGGACTGATAGTGATGTTCTCTTTGGGCCTGAGCTCTTATTCTCTGGACTTTGACCAGCAGTAACTGCCGCCCACCACAAGGAAACTTGTCTGACCAAGGCTGCAGCAGAACTAGTCTCTGAGTCTAAACATTATATTACATAGGCCCTTTGGCACATCCTTTATGTCCATTTTTATTATTCTTAATCATAGGTTTAAAATTCTGTCATTTTTATGTCGTGTTTGTGTTTCTGTAAGTGCCCTTAAATTTCTTTTATTTTGGGTGAACATAAATATTTCTGTCATTGAATCTGTGTAAGAAACCACTTTCACAGTCTGTATGCCCATTCATATCTGTAATTGTTTGCCTCCCATATATGAATGGAACCTGGTGGCATGAATTAATACTGTAAGAATAGTTTTTGTCTTGCATGGGACAGTGAACACAGGCTAAACCTCCTTATTCAAGGTATCAACTGATGCATTTGACTACTTAGTGGATTAGTTATTTAAATGCAAGTCAAATCTGTTTTGGGATGGAATTACAGTTAGTTTATCAAAGTATTCCAGCAATACACTGTGTTCATGACACATCCTGATTATGAATATTCTTCTTGGGTTTATTTGATGAGAAGTCTGATACTAGGAATAGGTAATATAAAATTGTCTGTGTGTGTCTTGCATATATTTCTTACAATTAGTTCATGAGGATTCCAAGCACTGAACAAATTTCTAGAGATTTCAAATAAAGAATCAAAGTTCTGGGGGCTAGAGAGATGGCTCAACAGTTAGGAACACTGACTACTCTTCTAGAGGTCCTGAGTTCAATTCCCAGCAACCCCATGGTGGCTCACAACCATCTAAAGTAGGATCAGATGCCCTCTTATGTTATGCAGGCATACATGCACGTAGAGCACTCATATATATAAAATACATAAATAAATTTAAAAAAAGAATCAAAGTTCTAATGAAAAGCACAGTTTGAAAAACATGCATATTAGAAAAATTATATTAGAGTACAAACTGCTTATACATTTCTAGGGTCCCCAAGAGTATATAAACTGGGAAACAAACATACCCATCATTTGATGCTGTTTCTCATATGAAGCATGTTCTTTTATCATTTATAGCGGTATCTGTAGTGAGGGTGCTATTTCTATTTTAAAATAATCAGCAGCATCACCAAAGCCCATCTGAGCCTGGCTATCAGCTCATGAAAACCGTAAACCTGGGCACACTGTACAATGTGTAGGCACCTCAGTGGGCTGGAAAAGGTCTCTTCCAGGAAGTTTATGTGGTCTTAGCCTCTCCCAGGCAGCTGGCTGTTCTGCCTCTTCTGGGCAGTTAAGCTTTTCTGAGAGTGTCTCTCAGCAGTTCTTACTGACTACATATATGTTGAGAAAGAGGAACTTAGTGAATCTGATCAGTTTCAGGGACTTCCTGAAGCTTTTAAGTTGTTTACTCCCTGAGCTTAAAGAGATTCCCTGTAGGATGAATTTCTTCACCTCCCTTAGGACATCCTGTTTCTTAACAAGTTCCCCTCCAAGATGAAATGTTTTATCTCAGAGGAATTTGTTACACAATGGGGGAGCACATGTGTATTACCCAAATGCTGGGAGGTGGAGGCAGGAGGATCCCATAGACTTGCTGGAGAGCCATTCTACCTGAAACGATGAGTTTCAAGTTCAATGAGAAAGCCTGTCTCCCCACCCCCAATGATAGAGTCACAGAGGAAGACAGTTGATGTTGACCTCTGGTTCACACACACACACACACACACACACACACACACACACACCACAGAGACACACACACACAGGCACATGCACACACTTACACACAGAGAGACAGAGACTATGTAGAATTTCATCACAATTCCAAGCCTAATATATTAAAATTTTATCATTCTAACTCATGACAGCAGAAGAAATAACCTTATTTACAGAGCGCATTTCTAATTGAGTAGAATTTATGTGAAACATTATCAGAAGTTATCCTTTGTATTGGGGTGTTTTAAGCCATCAGACAGACCTTTAATTTCTCTAATGTCAATATCACTTTATCTGCTAATTAACATATTTACAAAGGCATTTTGTAAACTTTTTTCTTTTTTTTATTGAAATTGAATATAAAATTATTACCTGTGCCATAACTGCTTGACTTTGTAGTATTATAACAATAACTCTAGAAAACAAGGATAACAAAGATATAACAGTGGTAATATTAATGGTCATTAGATTTTCTAAAACTATGAACAGTTGCCTAGCTAAGAATTCAGTCTTATCCTGCAATGCTTACCCTGGGTTGTATAGCATAATGAAACAGAGTGACTTTTAAATTTTAATTATTCTTTTTGCTTTGTAAGAAAGCATATGCATCACAAAAATTAGTGTAATTTAACATGCAATGATTCTGTAATATTGACCCTATATATTAGAGCATTGAAGTTAGACTTATTTGTAATCTTTTTTCTTTTGTATTTTTCATAGATGGCCAATTAATTTTCTATATGTATTGCTTTGTTTTTAATTTATTGTTTTCCAGGTGTACATCTCTGAAGTAAGATGATTTGTCAGAAATTTTATGTGGTTTTGTTACACTGGGGTAAGTTGCATGCACCTTTGTGTATTTGGGAGGATATTTCTGTAGATTAATTTCTAAAGAGAAACTTTTATATTGAACAGAAATTTGGTATTTTGGGGTCCCAACCTGTGTTTATAAATAACTGTTCTTGTGTAGTACCACTACAAATGCATGTCACCATTCTTTCACCTTTAACCACATCAAAGGAGACAAGTATTGTGTTTCAATTTTATTGATTTGAATTTTATGTGTGTGTGAGGTTGAGTTGACTATAGTTCTGGTGATATTTTTAGTTTTACATTCCAAATATCTGATTGTTGAGTTTGTTGGTCTTAGACAAATTTTAGGACTTTCTAAATTGAAAGAGACTTTTAACTGTGTGTTAAGGCTCCATAAAGAATCAGAACTGCTGGTGATGATATGTGTGAGTATACACATGTGCACATATGTGTTCACACATACGTGCATATGTTTATAAGCAAATGGATCATTTAATTTCAAAGACTGAGTGCTTCTAAGTCTGCAGTAGGAAAACTTCAGACCCAGGAGAGCCAATGGTATCTCAGTGCAAGGTCTGAAACACATACACACACACACACACCTACAACCACATATATAAATACAGGTTCTGAGGGAATATTATCAAGGAATGGTGCATATGTTTGGAATTGTCAATGAATACCACAACTTTCCAAGAGAGTTAAATATGTACGTATCCTTTCTCTCACCCGTTGTAGACGTGTTCTTCAGAGGAAGCTTCTTCAGCTGTTTTTTTGTTTTGTTTTGTTTTGTTTTAACGGCCTTGTAGTTTTAGTGAACCATCATTTTCAAACATTCTCCTGATTGGAACTAGCCATATATTGCCCATAACTTTTTTTTTAACATAGAGAAACCTAGTTTATTATTTAGTTTTTGGTGCCTAGACTTTTTCAAATTCATTTGTAATTATAACGTATGTATTTTGTTACTATGTATTTATCACATAGGAAGTGTTTTGGAATCTGTAAAATATGGAGAGTTGAAACTAACAGATAAGTGTATTGTGTCATATTATCATTTCATTGCTTTGAGAACTTCATATCTGCTCCCCTAACATTTTCCAAGAAGGTATATATTACCACTATCTACAGTTGGCACACCGTGTGTTAGATCTTTGACCTTCCTTCTTGTGTATCTTCTTTTGGCAGATATTTATTTGTATCTTTTGAACATCTTAAAATAGGGTTACTTTAGAACATTTTTAATTCTTTGAGAATTTCATACATGTATGCAATATATCTTTGTCATATTGAACTTCTACCCCTATACTCTCAAAAAATACATCTCCCTCCCAATGTCATAATCTTCCTTTTCTTTTTCACCCACTGAATTCAATTAGTGCAGTAGTGGTGCAGGGTCCCTTGTTTATTTTGCATAGTAACCCAATATTAGGCACACAGTTTATAGACATTTTATCCCATTCTGTAGTTTGACATCTGCACAGTCACTCTGTTGAATATTTCCTTCTCAGAGACAGACTAGAGAGTTTGACATAATCTTTGTCTTTGTTGTTGTTGTCGTTGTAATTGCCTGTGATTTAGGAGTATGTCTCAAAATATCACATAGCTCGATCTCAGAGTTTCCCAGCTTGACTTTAGCCTAGTCATAGTTACAGGTCTGCTAGGCCACTGATCCATGTTAAGTTATTTTTGTGTATGGTGATGATGGTGGTATAGTTTCTTTATGTCTTATGACTGCTCATCTTTTCCAGTGCCATTTACTAAACAGATCATTAATTTTCCAGGGAATTTTTGGCAGGCAGTTCTGTTGAAGCTTCGTTGGTTCTAGATACACAGCTTTATTTCTGAGTTCTTAATCATGCTGTGTTGATTCAGGCATCTTTTCCTGTCAGCATCATGCTGTTTTATGTACATGACTTGGTCCTATGTTTGGAGTCAGATTTGCTCTTTTTTTCCTATCCCTGTCTGTCTGAGAACTTGCCCTGTAGACAAGGATGGCCTCAAAGTCAGAGATCTGCCTGCTTCTGCCTCCGAGTTCTAGGGTTAAAGGCATGTGCGACCATGCCTGGCTGGAGGCAGCTTTGTTTTTGAACATAATTTCCATAATTTCTTTGGTTTTGGTGTATTTTTGGTTTCATATGAACTTTTGTAGTGCTTACTCTCTGTTAAGAGTGTTATTGACATTTTGGTATGGATTGAATTTGATAAATTCAAATACATTGAATTTATGCACTGATTTGAATAGTAAAATGTAAAAAAAATTAAAAATTCTTTCAATTGTATGAAAATACAACATTTTTCCGTTTACCTTTAATTTCTTTCATCCATGTTCTATAGTTAGTGTAGAAATCTTTCACTTCTTGACACATTTTTTTAAAAGTGTAGTTATTATAAATGGGCTGCTCCCCCTCTTTTTGATTCCTTTCCCCTTCTTTTGAGACAAGGATCTTACAATGTTGGCCAGGCTGGTCTTGAAACGATGGCTCCAGTGGTCTTCCTGCCTCGGCCTCCTGAGTAGCTGGAATTACAAATGTTCTGTGAGTGTATTTTTTCCTGATTCTTTTTCCTCTATTTGATGCTTACTATCATCTAATTCTACAGTCCTCATCAGGGTTAACTCTTGTCCACCTGTGGCCTTGGGCAACGATGTTTCCCACTCCTGTAGGAGCAGACAGAATAGCGTCCCCACATCCTTCTTATTCACCTCTCTGTTTGGCTTAAATCCTGGCATCCAGTATCTTTGGTGGGACCTTGCAGACTGTGTCATCGTGATGGTTTCTTGAGGGTATATGTGTACATTTCCTGTGTCTTCTCATTGCTTGATTTTATTCTTTTCCTTTGAACGGAATATTATGCCTTTGTTTGAATTCTTCACTTTATCCATTTGGAAATCAAAGAACATTCTCTTTGCTTCTGTTTCTTCACACTTTGTTGCATTTAATTCTTCAAAAGCTCTCACTCCATACACAATTCTAAGAATTCTCACACTGCGTTAGTGGATGTATACAGCGAGGAGGTCAACAAATTGTTCAAGTTCATTTGTAAAATGAAGAAAGGTAGAGAGTTAATTGTTTATTTTCAAGAATTTCTTACTTAAAGATCAGCTCAAAATTTGCAGCTTTTTGGGTATAGTGCTGCAAATGCTCTTAGTTCTATATTGGAAAGGTAATGATTTACCTGCAGTGTGAGTTTCCTGGAAGGACTGTTTTGCATCATTTCCTGGGGAGTGTATGGGGATTTTCCTATAGGATATTATACATCTCGAGACTCCTGGGAACGTTCAATAGAGCTTGCAACTCTCTTTAAGTCAGAGACAAACTTTCTCCAAAAGCATTAACATACTGTCGTGATCCTCCTAGTGGAGCTTTAGAATGCTTTAGTCCTTATTGATATCGTTAAACATACAGGTATTTCTTATTTATTCTGAAAGTTAGAATAATTTTACTATAAAAAGGAAGAGAATTAATGTAAATTTTCTCATGCTAAAATATAAACTTGTTAGATTAATGAAGAAAATTGATGCATGAATTTCCAAAGCAGAGGTGCCGGAAAATGAAATTAGTCCAGTAAATCTATCAAGTTCTCAAGTCTAATGCACCGGAAGGGGGAAGCTCAGACTTATTCTCTTGAAGGTTAAGTCTTTCTGAGGACTGCACCATTTTAGTCTCAAGCATTTTCTAGTTACATCTTTGCTAAAATGATCACTTGTGTCCTGTGTCTTTTTCCTGTCCGAACAGAATTTCTTTATGGGATAGCCGCACTTAACCTGGCATATCCAGCTGCTCCCTGGAGATTTAAGTTGTTTTGTGCACCACCAAACACAACAGGTGACGCCTTTCTCCCACCTGCCGGAATCCCAAAGAACGCTTCGGCTTTGAGTGGGGGTTATGACGCAGACCTCGAAGCTAGCTTTAACGCAAGTAGTGTCTACGTGTCTGAGTCATCCCAAACTGTTTCCCACTGTTGCTTTGGGAATGAGCGAGGTACAAATTGCTCTGTGCTAGCAAGTAAAACCGAAGGGAAGATGCTAGCTTCAACGGTAAAGGCTTTAGTCTTGCGCCAGCTAGGTAAATACTTTCATGTCCCAAGTCTACACTCTTGTGTTATGCCTGTATCCATCAAAATGTTTTAATTATTCATAGCTTGTATGAATTAGCTATCTTATTGTGTGTTAACATGTATTATAACTTTCATATAGTTTTAAAATTAGGATTCATTGTGTGACAAATAAATATGCTCTGTTCATTTTTATAGCTTGTAAGACTATCATTAAAGGAACAATTTTACTTGTAAATATGCTCTTCAGAGTCTAAATTTTCTTGGAAGCAAAATAAAAATGCACACTTAAAATAGATAAAATATCAAATTACTAGCACCACTGTTGAAGTAGTGAAATTTCAAAATGTTTAAAATTATAATGAATTATGCAGATGAGGAATCTCCCCGAAACAATATGTTATGCTGAATGAGTTTAATTGTTGTCTTAAGAATAATGTATACTGAAAGCAGCAAGCTTGGTTAATTTTGTATATAAAAATTAAAACAGCAAAACAATTTTTAAGTCTTCTGAAGGGACATGGAAGACTCAACTGTCTCAATTATATGAAAAGACCCCAAATAGGGAAGAATAGGGATACCTAAGTAAGGACTCTTGTGTGGTGCTAGTTGGATTTCCCAGTTGATATTAGTGACCCTTCAGTTCAGATAGTTCTTTAGTCAGACCAGCCCTGGTCTCTGCACAGTACTAAAAGAAATATCTTTATCTGTAACTGTAGTATCTATCTCCAGCCTGTCATAGTGGCACATGAATGGCAAAGACAGGAGGACAGTGAGTTCCAGACCAGCCTGGGCTACTAAGTGAGACACCAAACCAAACAAAAGAAATCTTCAGATATTGTCAGATGTCCCCCATCTGCCTGGTTTAACACTTTACGCAGGAAAAAGGATATTAAGTTGAAATCAGTTTAGAGTAAGAAAGGATTAGAGAGATGGCTCAATGGTTAAGAACACTTGCTGTTCTCACAGAGGACCTGGGTTTGGGGACTCAGTGCTTAAGAGCACTTGCTGCGTTTGCAGAGGACCTGTTTTGGTTCTTAGCAGTCATGTCAGGAGACTCACAACCACTTCTAACTTCAGTCCAGGTGATCTGATGCTCTCTTCTGGCCTCTGTGGAATGCATGCCTTTGGTGCACTTAAAATCATTCAGGCACACACACACACACACACACACACACACACACACACACGAGAGAGAGAGAGAGAGAGAGAGAGAGAGAGAGAGAGAGAGAGAGAGAGATCCGCCTGCCTCTGCCTCACGAGTTCTGGGATTAATGGCATGTGTCACCACTGCCCTGTGTAATGCAGTTTATTTTTAATGCAGGTGTAAATTGGGACATCGAGTGCTGGATGAAAGGTGACTTGACCTTATTCAGCTGTCACATGGAGCCATTGCTTAAGAATCCCCTCAAGAATTATGACTCTAAGGTCCATCTTTTATATGATCTGTGAGTACTGATGGGATTAAGTTGACTAGTCATCTGACCTGATTTGTTTACAGTACAGACACAGACTATGAACCTCTCTCACCCCTGCGCGCTCTTTGCAGCTGTGCACATTATGAAAAGTTGTTTGTATGCTTTTACATCCATCTCCCCCATTAGGTTTCCCCTTTCTCTTCCTGTTTATTTAGGCGTGGAGACGCTGCAGATGTGGATGGACATACAGTCTAAAGGATATGTGGACGCTGTCAGATTAGTCCTTGTGTGAGCTGGCTAATGTGTTTATTATAGGAATTACCCTAATGTTCTTTCCGACACATCCCTATCCATTTGCTGACCGAGAGAGGTTGTTCACTGTGTATAAACTGCATTGAAAACATTGCCAACATGAATGGCTTAAAAAAAAAAAAAACCTTGGCATTGTCTTTAGGAAGATTTTAAATGAATGGGCAGCAGTTGGAGGTCTATCAGAAGGACTGAGGTTTTATTGAGGGCCTGTTATAATGAAGAAGGTGTCGAGATGCCTACTTTCGAATGACCTGGTAAATTCACAAAGCCAGCAGAACTCAGATGCGCCATAGCAAGAGGACTTGGGACTTATAGACTGCCGCCCTGAAGGAGGCTCCTTCTGTGGTGGGTAGCTGGATCAAAGATGTGTCCAGGAGAATACCCAGATTGAACGAGCTGATAATGCTGCAGTAATGAAAGGGGACAAGGAAGAAAGTGAAGACTCTAGTTTCCATTTTATATTGATTGATTAAACCATCCTAAGAATGTTAGATGTTTTTGTAAGCTCTCTATTTTAGAGATTCTGTAAGGGTGCAAGGCGCCTAAGATAAAACAAACCTTTTACTTCCATCCTTAAAAATATCTATACAGTAAGAGCTGAACGATAGAGAGAAAAGCCGTGAAAAGCCACCCTCTGGGCAGGACACAGACACTGCAATCAGGAACTCACAGCACCTGTGGTTGCCTGCACTGGGCCTGCTCAAGACTGGCTCTGTCCATCATCACTCATGGATGTGGGAGGGCTTCTTGGGGCTCTGCTCATTGTATTAGTCACTTTTTTTATTTCTGTGAAAAGACATCCTGGCCAAAGCAATTCATAAAGAAACAGAGTTTAACTGGGCTTATGGTTTCAGAGGCTTAGAGTCCATGATGGGAGAGTGAAGGGATGACAGCAGGGACAGCTGAGAGTTCACATCTCAAAATGCAAAGTAGGCAATAGAGAGCACAGCGGGAATGGTGCAAGTCTTTTGACACCTCAAAGCCATCCCCCCAGTGGCATACTTCCTCCTACTAAGCCACACCTCCTAATCCTCCCCAAACAGTTCCACCAACGGGGAGCCAAGTATTCAAAGATATGTGTCTATGGAGGGCATTCTCACTCAAACTACCACATCCTCTATGCTGAACTAAGAGCTACAGATGGATTCTGGGAGAGGAAGAGTCATTGTCTTTACTCATGTAGCCACTGGTGAACCTGCCGGGCCCCAATGGACAGTTCAAAACCCATGATGGCCCTGGGTAAGCTCAATGGGTCACACCACAAAACAAAGAGAGTTGACTATAGGGAAAGGATTTGTGAATAAGGATTGGCAGAAGTGAGTTAAGAAAGGATATAGTAAGAGCAATCAAAACGTTTTATACACATGTATGGAAGTGTCAAGAAACTAATCATTGACTAAATATTAAAAACTCAAAAGTATTATTCAGTGTTCTTCCCTAAAGCCAATGACACAAGTTCTATTATAGTTTTTTTAATCACTAATTTTTTAATCCATTTTAAAATGGAGTGATTAATCCATTTTTTCCTTCAGGCTCATTTATGTGGCTCCATCTACTAAAATTTGCAGACCAGTCCTTTTTAGTAGCAGAGAGACAAATAGTCTTTATCTGGTCCAGGTGTTTTGAAAAGCATCTGCCTATGACTAAACACAGCTGTCCCATCTTTCGTTCAGAAGGCAGGTGGTAAAGGAACACCTGCTCTTAAAACACAGCAGGAGTTCCAGAGTTAAGAACCCAAAGTCCAGCAGCAAGTACTGGTGATAAAAGGAAGAATGAATGTTTGTGAGGCCTCTAGTCCATGCCATATTTACTTACTGGCTTTACAAAAAAATGTGTACTTTGTTGAGTGGAATTAAAATTGTGTTTACCCTCATGACTATGTGAGCTATTAGGTACATTCAGCCCTACTGTGGTCTCAGTCAGGGGCTAAAATGATTGGTATGGACATTTTTTTGTCGTGTATCATTCTGTTTGTATGACAAAAGAGAATTATTTTTTCAATGATTGAATAAAAAGTCCTAGATGTAAGAAATTTGCAGATATAATTTAGTTAGGGTATAGTTGATTTCTTTCAGTCATTCTGGCTAAAAGGGACCACTGATTTGACAATTAATTCTAAATCCAAGTAAGAACACACACTTAATCTACTGACTTGTAAGTATTTTATTAGCTCTTCCTATACATCTGATAGCTAATGAAGCAGGAAGCCTTTATACTGACTGTCTTATACATTCACAATCCTTGGCAATACATCTGTGAGCTACGGGCAATGGGCCTTCATTTCTGTTAGTTCAACCTGCACAAATCATTAATGTGGTGGTTTGAAAGAAAATGGCCCCCAAAGGGACTGGCACTGTTAGGAAGTGTGGCCTTAATGGAGAAAGTGTGTCACTATGGTGGTGGGCTTTGAGGTCTCTTTTCTCAAGCTTCGCTCAATGTGACAGTCAGTCAACCTCCTGTTGCCTGCAAGATGTAGCCCTCTCAGCTCCAGCACTATGTCTGCCTGCATGCTGCCATGCTCCCCTTCATGGACATAAAGGATTGAACCTCTGAAACTGTAAGCGAGCCACCCTCAATTAAATGTTTTCTTTATAAGAGTTGCCATGGTCATGGTGTCTCTTCACAGCAATAGAAACCCCAACTAAGACAATGAAGAATAATCCATCATACTTGGAAGAGGGGCTCTCAACTGAGGAACTGCGTCTGTGAGATTGGCCTGTCTATACGTCTGATTTTCTTGATTGCTGGTTGATGTAGGAGGGTCCAGCCCTTTGTGGACAGTGCCATCCTCGGCAGGTGGGCCTGGGTTGTGTACAGATCAAGACAATGAGCAGCTTTTCTCTGTGGTTTCTGCTTCAAGCTCCTGCTTTGCGCTCCCAAGGTGTCTTTCCCATGGTGAACTGGAATCTAGAAGCCGAATAAACCCTTTCTCCATCAAGCTGTTTTTAATCATAGCAATAGAAAAGCAGACTAGAGCCATGGGGAGAGCAATCATGACTGTTGGTGGAAAGTACTCCTGAAAGACAGGTGGATAAATCCCTGGCCTCTTTCTAGTTGTTACGGCATTGAATCTTAACCTTGCTTGCTCAGCCTCCATGGACATTTGCTGTTTGTGGGCATAACCCGCCAGAATTCCCAGACCTTTGGCTTGTGTTATATTCTATGTACACTATGTCCGGGGCCAGTCTTCTGTGTGTGTGTGGGGGGAGGAGTAGGGCATTGTAAAAGTCAACTCAGAACCAAAATGCTGTGAGTTACTTTTGCCCATGGCTAGGAAATTAATTTTGGTGTTGGATCATGAAATGGAGGTTACATTTATGGATGGGAAGCTCTTTGCTTCTTTCACCAGTAGGGATGTCTACTTCTCAGATGCTTATGCCCAGAAAGGTAGCTTCTGCTGAAATGCTGTGGGGTTGGAAGCCAGAGAGAATATATGTTCTATTATATCTAGATACAGGCTGTTGGTTTTGATTGAGTGTCATTCCCAGATGTTTGGCTTCTAGAATCAATTCTATTCTGAAGACTACTGCAACATCTCTGAATGCTTTGACAATGCTCTTATGTCCAATGCTTTATGCAACATGACTTTATGGCCAAGCTTACTTATTCAGAAATGTTGGGGCTTGCTTTAAGACAGTAATTAAATGTATCATTTTATTTTAAGGAAATCACCATTTTGTTCCATCAAAATTCACAAGCAAAATCGTTCAAAGGCTTCCATGTGTAAAAAAACTGTGTTTTTCCAGGAGCTAAAATTTGATGTTTAAAAAGGATTTAAAAACCTATAAATATGTCCTCAAATGGACAGCATTGTTTGAGCTCAGATATTAATGTTTGTCTGAGAACCTGAAGGAGAGATACTCTAACAAATGTGATATGCTGGGACTGCTTTAGACATTTATTTTTGACTAGGGAGGAAGTTCTTCCTTTCCTTTGTGAGTTCCCTACTGTGAGCCTCACGTTCTGAGTGTGGGGAATAGTGTTCATAACAGGCTTTCCCTTTGTTATGTAATGAGACTTTTCCTGGTGAAACTATACACACTACTATTCACTCTAGATAGGGAGCCCATGACAGACCAAAGTAAGAATACCATCCTAGTCCACCTTGGTGAACCAATGAGTTTTATTGGGGTTATATACAGGTACATAAGTGGGGAGTTACTTATAGGAAAAGAAATGACAAAAACAGATGTACCACCAAAACTCACCCCAATACCAGTGACTGCTGCAGCAAAGTCAGGGACTTGGAAAACACTGCACATCTGTAGGTTTTTTCCAGTGACTCAGTTGTTCTAAACCCCTTCCAGTCCTCAGTCTGGCTGATTTCTGTTTCTTACTGTTTACTGTGGAAGGGAGGGAGGGACCTAGTGAATCTAGTCAGTTTCAGGGACTTGCTGAAGTTATTTGAATTGACTACCTTCTGGCTTAAGGAACTTCCCTGCAGGATGTTTCCACCTGGTAGGAAAACCCTACACAATTCCCTTCAATGTGGAGCTAACAATGTGTTGTAAAAACATAAAATGCTGCAGTCCAGTTTGAAAGTGTGGTCATGTAATAAAAAGAGGCACACATGAATTAAGAGGGAGTGGAGAGCATTGGCGGATGCCTGAGGCACAGATGACAGAGCTGGAAGACTGAAGACTGAGTGTGGTTGAGCTGGGAAGCCAGTGAACACAGGAGCAGTGTCCAGGTCAGGTCGAGAAGAGCTGCCTGCCAAG